TACTCTATCAACTCAGTCGTCTTGCAGCTCGCATAAAACACTATATTCTATAGAAATCATTGTACATAACCCACGACAAATGTTGCTCAATCGATTTCATTGATTTGTTTGATACAGGATGGCCCAAGAGTCACGCACCCAACAAAAAAATTGAATATCTCCATTAAGGTTTGAGCAAATGAGGTGGTTTTTGTGTACTCAAAAAGTGAGTACATTCTAGAATCGGTCAGTGTGTCCGTCCGTCCGTTTACACGATAACTTTTGAAAGGAGAGTCCGATCGCGATGAAATTTTCTACACAGTTTAGTCTCAACAATATCTAGGTCGAGTTAGAAGATAAGAATGATTGGCCGAGCCATTGGTGAGTTATTGTGAAAATAGTCATTTTTCCCTATGCTTCCCTATGAGAAGATCGACCTATCTTCGTTTTCGTAAAAAGCTTTTCCTATCATAGTCAAATAAAACCCCAACTATTATATATCATTCGATAGAGAATTTCACGAGCTACAAAGTGGTATATAAAACATAAGGAAACAAGAAAGCCAACTCAGCTATTGCAAAGATAATTAAACGGAATTCGGTTCTGTTTTTGTTCACGCTCTAATTAATCCACAAATAGAGCTCTATCTTCCGATCACAGAGATGATACTTGGAGGTTTTTTGGGGTGGAGAACTCGAATCTGTGCTCCATTCGGCTCGAAATCCCATTGGTTGAACAGTAACCAATAGAAATCAAGTTATAGGAAAAACGACTTTCTTAGGCTAAATCAAGGTGAAGAGTTCAAATCTGAGCTGTATTCACCCCCAAATCCTATTGGTTGAGCAGTATCCAATAGAAATCAAGTGTTTATAGATAAGGTTTGTCAGGATAATTTTTATATCCCCATATTCTAGAACCACTCATCTGTCTCATTCACTTTTTGAAGTACACATAACTCTCGGATTTAAATCCGAGGCTTCCACATTTATTTTACTAAACTTTCAGTGTAGAAAGAACGATCACGTTTTCAAACGGAAAAGACGCAAAATAATTGTTTTTACAAATCGATAAAACTGAGATTGTGTGACTTGTCGTGAAAAACACTCACACACCTACACCCTTAAAGTAAAGCAAAACGAACTATTTTCCTTAAAGAAAATAATTCGAATGGTTCAAATGTCGAAATAATTTTGAATGAAAATCTTGGTGATGCTTGATTTAGATTCTTGGAGAGATTTAATATTCATCGAAATGTAATATTGGTGTTTTAGTTTATTATCCATAAAATCAGTTGGACAATATATCTTTTAGCAATTTTTATTTAATAAAAAATAATGGGTAGTTTTGTGAAAATTTCTTTTTCATTTCTAATGGAAAGATTTGAATGGATCAATTGTTCGATGAATAGCAACAGTAGCGAAGGCTGATTGAAAATCATAGTGAAATTGATCTCTTTTTATATGAAATTCTGTTATTAATCTTGGAATTAATTCGTGTGTCCTATCATCAGCAATATCTTCAGCAAGAAATCAACCAGATAAAGAAATATAACCTTGAAATAATGAGAATCTGGGTAATTGATGAAGAAGAGTTAATAATTGAGTTGAACGAGAAATAGTAGCAAACAATCGTTCAAGATGAGGATAATTGTCACAAAATTGCTCATTTGAATAAAAATCATCAAATAAAACATCATTGGGTGGGGTATGGTTGTGGATGTGGTTGTGGGTGTAAATATGCATCAAGTGGAGAGCTACACTCGCACTCACACTCTCATGCTTCGTTGCTAAGATGTTTGTCCCGTCTGGCGGAGGAGAGGATGCAAATTTCTATCCCTGTTAACTTCAATACTCCTTTTAGATCATGTTTCAGAAAACTCAAAAATCTAGCACTTATTCCAAATACGGCCCTCGAAACAAGCATCAACTCTGAACCTATTAAACCACTTTTATAGATTCTCATTAAAAGCCAGTTCATAAATCTGTTGAGCTTAAAATTTTATGTCTGCACTTTGTTCAATTCAATGTCCGTGACGGTCTTTGCTGCTATGCCAGTCACGGTCTGTGATAATGTCGGTCAAGAACTGTTGGGGATTCAAATTGTGTACTCTTAAACGTCAACACTTCCTTTTAGTTCGTGTTTCACAACAATGGTAGATATAACTGAGCGCACTATCACAAATACAGGCGTATCCTGAGCGAAAGGGCCGAGGGTTATCCGCCCCTCCCCCATCTTTGAAAATTTTGTTTTCTGGCCCGATAATTTGCAAGTTTTTCTAAAATTTTAAAAAATGTCCGCAAAATTTTTATAATTTATAAAAACTTTTCAAAACTTTTCAAAACAGTTGCGGCCCCTCCCCAAAATATTTTCCACTTCGAGACGTTCCAGCACAAGTATATTACAATTTTTTGAGAATTTTTATCATTTATTTAACATCATGACTTACTAATCAAATACTATTCATTTAATAAGTAAATGAATTTTTAAATGAGCAAACATAATAACTGCTGAACATTAAATTTTATACTAAGAGTGCAATTTATTTACTGAGACATTAAATATAATACTGAGCAGATTATACTGAGCATTTACAAGAAAATATTGAGCATAAAATTTGTTGTCATAAGAAAATAATGCGCTAAGATTCATAAGCAGTAGACAAAGAGTTTTCATGTATTATAATGAATTATGATCAAATAATTGTCAAATGGTCAATAATGCACTGATAAATTCATGGATTAGACGACATTATGACATTATTTGATCAATAATGCATGCAAATTCATGAAAGAGTTATATTATTATGTAATTGCATCCATTATTTCTAATTATTCAGCTACATGACTATAAGTTGAATAAGTTCAGATAGATTGAAGAGTGACTTAGATAACCGTTTTGTTGTAGGTGTTGGTGTGAGTCTTCGTTTTATCTACTAACAATCACACCCACACACCATACTCACATGTATACAGAAATCGAAACTGGCTAAAAATGAGATACAAACAAGAAAAAATATTAAATCTATGACAATGTTGGTTTTACTTGCATAAATATTTCTTCTATATCTTCATTTGAATTGTTTGTTTTATTATTATTTCCTTGACTTGATTTATTCATATTACATTCTTTTGATTTTGGTTTCAATCGCATATTTAGATATAATTTTGCCTGACAATCTTGAATACATGATAATAGATGTTCATATTGTTTTTTCATGCGTCTATACCAGTTATTTAATTCTTTATGACGATTTTCAAATTGACGCTAAGTGCAATTAATTTTGCATTAAGTAAAATAGTTTCAGTTTGAGATTTACCTATAAATGAAATTTTCAATCAAAACAACAGAATCATTTTTTTTTTATTTAAAAAGAAATGCCGAAATCAACTTGTGCTTGTTCTAGATGATCTTTTATTATTTTCATTTCATTTAAATGTTTTTCTATGCATTCTCTTTGAGAATCAAGATCAATTGGTTCTTCTTTTATTTTATCTTGTTCTGTTATTGCTCTAGACGACGATACTAATGATGGTGATAATTCTTTCAATCGAGCTTCATATGATTCCGATACAGTTGCACATTCTAATTTGAGTTTCTTTGTAACAGCTTGTTTGACGTCTTTAAATAGGAAATAAAACTCGAAGTGATTATTTGAGAAATACAAAAAGTCTTGTTAATTACCAAATTTTTCTCGCAAAACTTTATATGCATCACATGCTATTTTAGTATATACTTGTGCTTCAACGAATGCCTGATTAAGATTAGCTATGTCATGTTTAAATGTAAGATTTTCTCGCATTATATTATTCTAAAGGTGTAATTTGAGTACGGGCTGCGGGTATACAACAAATAAATACTCACACCTACACCCACATCCACACCCACACCTATATCCATACCCATACCCACATCCACACTCATACTCATACCCATATCTATACCCACACTCACCCTAAACAAAAATAGCTAATTACAGATCTCTAATCAGGTTAAAATAACAACTATGGAAATAAAACTCGATACATTTTGTAAGTTGACCGAAACTAGTTTAAAACAGTTTACTTGGAAAATAGCGTGTCAGAATCCGATTGTACAAAAGCAAATATATCTACAAGTTTGAAAAGGGTTCAATATCAATGTTCAAATGTTGATTGTTTCTACTAGAATTTCTCCAAGTCAGAAGTACTCCAACGTCTCACCGATGATGCTGCGTTGGCGAGATAAATTTCTTCTTCTTCCTTCTGTCTATAATCAATAACAAAATCGTCTGCTGCTTCTGTATCTTCTTCTTCTTCGGCTTCTGCCATGTGCTCTTCGAGTTTGGCCTGGTACATTAAAGCTGTCTCATGATCATTCTTATGTCCGAGATATATAGCAATTATATTCTCCAGTACGTCAACTATTTTCTCTGGATTTACTGCTGCATCATTGCTTTCATAGCGTTCCAATAGTTTTTCCAAGAAACATAATTTCTCGTCGTACATGTCTAATTCATCGTAATTGTCACTTAATTGTTTTGCAATTATACTAATACGTTCATCATTGATTGAGTAACATTTCAACATACTTTCAAGATATAATTCTAAATATTTTATAACCATGGACATACTTTCTCTCTTCTCTTCTTCTTTATTATGATCATCTGTATCTGTAACAGTTATGAGCAGCTTCTTTCCATACATTTCATACAGAAGTTCATAGATCTTTATCTCTTCGGAATTTGTTATGCCTTTTTCGATTGCAGTTTGAAAGTGATTGGTTGCTTGATCAAAGTTTTCTCCAGCCTGATGAATCTGTTTTAATTGAAAAAAATAGATCATACCAATATCATAGTAAATCCGACCAAGAGCAATGTGAGCATTTAATTCATCATCATCGTTGAATTCACTCCAAAATTTCAATGCTTCGTTCCAGTTTTTCATCGCAAGAGTGTGATTGAAATCACGATCGATGTTATTCATCGCTAGACAAGACATTTTCACGGCCATAATCCACTTTTCTGTTGGAAATAGTAAAAGTAGTTCATTGAATACCGTCTGTATAAGAGATTTTGTTACACCACAAAAATCTGTCAACGTTTCGGTCAACAGTTCAATGTAATGTCTCATCATTCTTCTCTCGCCAAAACTTACAAATATTCGTTCGTCATCTTTTTCAATTGTATCTGAGACAAGTTCCATTTTAGCCAGCCAGATTTTTCTTTCTACATCATAATGAACACTATCATTCGTTATTTTGAATTCTAGACCCGGCATCAATAGAACTTCGGATTCCATTTGAAACCAGCTTATCGTCGAAATATCAGCGTAGGGAAACGATTTCACCGATAGATTCAGTTGAATTTCGAATAGAATACTTTGTAGTTCTTCGTCGGGCATTGATGTACCGAGATAAATATCTGACATAGTCGGATCAAGCGTTGTAGATAGAAAGCTGCTAGTCACCATGTTACCCATCGAATTTTTTAATTTTTCAATTTCCATCTTTGACATTAATTGTCCACGATAGACTGTAACTTTCGAGTCTTTCAACTGTTTTCGAACAAATTTTTCATGTTCACATTTCAGTTGTTGATATAAATCTCGAAGAAAGAAACCGAAGAGAAACATAACTTTAATATTCTTTTGTCTTAGAGCGCAATTAATCGAACGATAAAGAAACGTATCTTTTGTGTACTCTTCAATAGGATTTTTGTTTGCTGCAGATAAATAATTCCGTTCTAGTTCATCTATATGCCGCAGTTCAGATGCATTGGTCACGTAATGTTTTCTCATTTGTATGATGAACCGTTGAAAACAATCTTGTGGATATGATAGATGGGCAAGAATATGAACGAGTTTAGGCCACCAAGATTCAACAGTATCTGTAGTATTTTCTGCCTGAGCATCATTGCTACTCAGATTGAAAATGTTTTGCTCATTATGTTCTTTCGAAAACTGATGAACAACTGTTAATAGCGATTTTAGCAGTAGTTGAAGTGCAGTGTAGGTTTTGATCTAAAGGAACCAAAAAGTTGTCAAGCTTAAACTAGTGTGTGTAGTTAGAATTGTCCAACTTATCCGAAGCAGGAAAACTGAAATAAAACTCGAAAAAAAAAATCATACTTATTTACTACCACACAACTACGGCATAATGTATCACATCGGATTCTATGTGCTCTATGAACCGGAAACCATGAACAGCTTGAGTACTGAGTGACCATGTCATCGAACTCATGTGAAGTTCAAATAGCTGTTCCAGCTCATAATGTTGGTATAATTGACCAAGAAGAGAGTGATGGGTATGACAAAATTTACGTAAAACTTAAGAGTAAATTGGAATAGTCTAAGCTTTTGAAAGAAAACTCACAAGAGTTGCTATTTTCGCTAATTCAACTTTACTATTCATTGGAGATGGCATAGAAATACAAATAAGGGTCGCTACTGATGTACTAGACGAGACTAGTCAATCTCTCCTTGCCTCACAAACCGTGATAGTTACCTTAGCAACGAATGACTTTTCGTACCAAATATTGTGATCAAGAATCCATGTAAAAGAGAGATATTATCCCCCACTTTTGAAATTCAACGACAGGGCGACTTTTCTGGCGACATTAACCAGCCTCAGCAGAAGCGTCGATAAGTTCCGTCACAAACTTTAAATTCTCTGTAAGTTTTTTGCGAGATATTCTCAGTTCTTCTTCATGTTGACTATTCGATTGTGAGCGGATGACGAATATAATGCACTCACATCGAGGCTACAATAATATTCACATTCACACTCTGCTTAAAGTGTCAACATTGATATCAATTCATGCTAATACCAATGTTAATATGTCACTTCTAGTCAATACAGTTTTTGACAGAAACGAAGTAAGTAGCATATACAGTACTAAATAGTGAAGTAAAGATACAACACCATTTCGACTTTATATCAGCGAGTAGAAATAACTTTCCGTTTTTATGCCTCAAATTCAAAGGTTTTTTTCGAATTCTAGTTTATTGGAGAAGTTGGACATTGGTGTTTAATTGTAGTGGTTCTTTAGACTAACCCTTGCATCGTTCACTATCCATTCATGTTCAGAACTGGTCGTAGTTAACCAATGAATAGAAGAAATTTGTTTCAGATGGTATATCGCGAGTAACAATTTTTCGGCTAAGTGACCAGACAGCACTAAGAATATTGCGCTTTCATTGGATGTGGACGTAACCATCTCTATGTAGTCTCGACAACAATAGACGTTATCAAAATATTTTACGTAGTCACTGATTCTACGTAGTCTATTAAGTTTTATTGGATTTTCAGCATCAGAATTGAACCATATAATTTCATAAGAATCGAGTTCAGATAGTTCTGGTTCAGATATGGCATCGTTCTTCAGTAATGTGTCAGACAAAGGTGTTGTTTCTATTAATTTGGTTGTTCCTTCAGACGACACACTCGCTACTATATCACTTTTAATCTTTTTAGCAATTGAAGTAGCTGTGCGTGAACAATAAAACATACAATCAGTACAATCAAACTTGTCCTAATAATTTTCAGATGCTTACTTTCTATGAAAACTTCATCGGATCGTTTTTCAGCCATTACCTTCGATAATAAAAAGATGGATTCTATGTTTAAATTTCAAAATAGCCTACCACGTTTTATTGCTACTTTTTATTGTCGACGGAAGAAAAAGAACAGAATGTAAAAGAAAAAAATCTTGAGTTTTTCTTCCTTCAGAATTACGATTTTGTAGTAACTCTTTCAATCAGCATACATGTAATGCCACGAGATTGCTTCTTTTTCTTTTTCTTTTTCTTGTTCGCACTCCTCCTACCACTCAGACAGTGTGGAGGATGAATTTGAAGGAAAAAACTAAGATTTAAACCAATCATACGACGTTTCGTTCTTGCTATAGAAAGTCCTCTACGGCACTTTGCCGAAAGGGTTCACTAGAAAGTTTTGAAACTGTCACAGCCAATAAACTCATATGAGTATAGTAAAAGTTGTCATTGACTCAAAATTCTAAAATTCACCCTCATAAGACATATTGAAGTTGTAAGGTTGTGGGTGTGGATGAAGTGAAAACCTATTCAAAGCCACACCCACACCTACCCAGTTTTTAACTCGTACCACCATGGAGTGTCATAGTTGAAGATCGTTGCTGCTTTTGGCACTCCTGCTGCATCGAGCATGTTCTGAAGTTTAGGCAGAACTGTGAATAACAAGACATTTGACTTGTGCATAGCATATAAGAAGAGAACAGAATCTTTTTTTATTTGTTTGTTACAAAATAATTTTTGTCTTACGTTGTTTATCACCAAATATTTAAGTTAAATAAAGAAAAAAAAGGAAAATATTTACTTTTCTGTTATTAATTAGTAACTAGCGAATATAGTATTGAATGGAATGCTTTATTATACAAAAAAGTATTAGCTCCTATAGTGGCTGTTTGATGTATTTGTTAATAAGTTTATGAGTCAATTTTTCAAGGACCAGCGTTTGCTAGAAGAAACACAAAATACTTTTGCAAGCCAA